GCAAGCGGGGTCGAAGAGGTCGAAGAAAATATGAAAAATTGAAAACTGAACTCATAAAGAGGCTGTCAGCATCGCGTGAGAAAAAGGTGAAGCAGCTTCTTATGCATGAAGAGCTTGGGGACAGAAAACCATCGCAGTTCTACCGCCACCTTCTTAATTTGGCTGGACCTGGGGTTCCGGAGGAGTTTCTGCGCACAATTTGGACAAGTCGCCTGCCCAACAGTACGCAAGCCATCATCGCGTCACAGACCAAGGCCGATATGGATGAACTTACGGAACTAGCCGACAGAGTTCACGACGTAGTCGGCTCGCAAATTGCATCGACATCCGTCGTCACAGCATCATCGGGTACTTCTAGTGACGGTATGGCCCTCCAGATTGCCGCGCTGACCAGGCAGGTGGAAAAGCTAACAAGAAGAATGGAACGAATGTCTCGACCCAGGCGACGCTTGGACAGCCGTACGCGTAATCGTTCGAGCTCCACAAGATCACAATCCAATTACCGACGGTACCCTCTATGTTGGTACCACCACAAATTCGGGGAGCAAGCTAAAAAATGCATCAGACCATGTGACCATCACACAGCGGGAAATGCAAGGGGCAATCAATAATGGCGACCGATGATTGCCCGAGCGCTGGTCGCTTGTTCGTTACCGATCGAACATCAAAGACGCAGTTTCTGGTCGATACAGGTAGCGACCTCTGCGTTTTTCCTCGGTCGGCATTGCCCGAACGCCGGCAGAAGACCAGCTACCAATTATGTGCAGCAAACGGAACACCCATTTGTACATATGGTTACAAAAATTTAATTTTAAACTTAGGACTACGCCGTGACTTCACCTGGCAATTTATAGTCGCTGACGTCACAAAGGCAATAATAGGTGTAGATTTCTTGTCGTTTTACAATTTAATTGTTGATTGCAGGAACCACCGTCTTATGGACAATAATACAACACTCGCGGCCCCGGCTTCTCCTGCCTGCCCGTCTGATGTTGTTTCTTCGGTAAAGGTACTCATTGGTGACAGCACATACCATCACATACTAAGAGAGTATCCTGACATCACCCGTCCTTCAGGTATTCATCGCACACCAACACATAATACATTACATTACATAAATACTACACCTGGGCCACCAGTTTCATGTACACCGCGTAGGCTGGCCCCCAACAAACAAAAAATTGCAAAAGAGGAGTTTGATGCGATGCTGCGTAATGGCACAGCCAGACCCTCAAAATCACCATGGTCATCTCCGTTGCACTTGGCCCCCAAGAAGGACAATGGATGGCGACCTTGTGGGGACTATCGGATGTTGAACGCCAGAACAGTGCCAGACAAATACCCAATCAGACACATTCACGATTTTTCACACAGTCTATCAGGGTGCTCTGTGTTTTCCACTATTGACCT